CTTTTCCAGTTTTTTTTTCATATCCATAATCATATCAACATATCCCGAAGAGCGGTGAAATATGATTATTCTTATATATAAAATAACATTACATTTGCACCCTTTCGGTAATATTATGTTCCCGCTCCTTCAGTAACATTACTTTTGCACCTTTTTTGTGACGTTACCTTTGCACCTTTCGATGACATTAGATTCGCACTCTTTTGGTGATGTTACATTCACACCCTTTTGATGACAGTACATTCGCACCTTTTTGGTTTTAATACATTCACACCTTTTCGCTCCTCAATTGTTCGCACCCTTTCGGTCCCAAACCCTTTGCACCCTTACGGTCTCGAACCATTTGCACCCTTACGGTCCCGAACAATTCGCACCCTTACGGTCCCGAAACGTTCTTCGGTCCCAAATCGTTCGCACCCAACAATTTCGCACCATTTTGGTTACGACACGTTCACACCCTTTCGGTCCCGACATGTTTGCACCATTTCAATCTCGACACGTTCGCATCCTTTGGTTCTGACACGTTCGCATCCTTTGGTTCTGACACGTTCACACCCTTTTCGGTCCCGAAACGTTTGCACCCTTTCGGTCTCGACATGTTCACATCCTTTCGATCTCAACACGTAGCACTCTTTTGGTCCCGAACCGTTCGCACCATTTCTGTCCCAAACCATTCGCACCCTTTCGGACCCGACACGTTTGCACCCTTTCAGTCCCGACACATTCGCACCCTTTCGGTCCCAACACGTTCGCACCCTTTTGGTCCCGACACATTCTCACCCTTTCGGTCCCGACACATTCACACTCTTTTGTTCTGACACGTTTGCACATTTTCAATTCCAACACGTTCACACCCTTTCGGTCCTGAACCATTCACACTCTTTCGGTCCTGAATCGTTCGCACCGTTACGGTCCTAACACGTTCGCACCCTTTTGGTCCTGATACGTTTGCACCCTTTTGGTTCCGACATGTTCGCATCCTTTTGATCTCAACATGATCGCTTCCTATTGATTTATTATTGCAGAAAACACATTAAATTTTTAAAGATCGTTTAGATCTATATAATGAATCAAACATTATATTCAAGAGTACTAAGAATCATACCTATATTAGAAAAATATAGCACGCAAATGTTCTTAAAACATTGCATCTGTAAAATGTTCATAGCCATCATAATATCAATATATTCTGAAGAACGATGAAATATGATTATTATTACATATAAAATAACATTATGTTCGCACCCTTTCAATATTTTCGCACCCTTTCGTAAATATTATTTCCTCCTCCTTCAGAAACGTTACATTCACACCTTTTTGGTGACATTACATTTGCACCTTTCGGTTACATTATATTAGCACGCTTTTAGTGGCATTATATTCACACCCTTTTGATGACGTTACATTCGCACCTTTTCGGTTATGATACATTTGCACATTTTTCTCCTGAATTGTTCGCACCCTTTCGGTCCCAAAACGTTAGCACCCTTTCGGTCCCGAAACGTTAGCACCCTTTCGGTCCCGAAAAGTTCGCACCCTTTCGGTCCCGAACCGTTCGCACCATTTTGGTCCTGAACCGTTCGTACCCTTTCGGTCCTGACACTTTTGCACCCTTTCGGCCCGACACCTTCGCATCCTTTCATTCTCAGCACGTCGCACCCTTTCGATCTCTACATGTTCGCACACTTTCGCTCTCTACACGTTTGCACACTTTCGGTCCCAACACATTTGCTCCTTTTTGGTCTCAACACGTTTGCACCCTTTTGGTCCCGACACGTTCGTACCCTTTGGTTCTAACACGTTCACACCCTTTCGGTTCTGACACGTTCGCACCCTTTTGGTCCTTAACCGTACGCATCATTTCGGTCTTGACACGTTTGCACCCTTTCGATCTCAACATGTTTGCATCCTAATAATTTATTATTGCAGACACCACATTAAATTTTTAAAGATCGTTTTAGATCTATATATATAATGAATCAAACAATATATTCAAGAGTACAAGAATCATACCTATATTAGTAAAATAAAACACAAAAATTTTCTTAAAACCTTGCATCTGTAAAATGTTCTATTTATAATAATCTGAAAAAGTACATTGATAGATTATTAAGAGGCGTGTTTTATTTTAAAATGCATATTTTCATGAGTTTTGAGGAAAATTATGACTCTTCAAATTAAAGAGATGTGTGGTTTGCAAAAAAAATAACTGCTCATGGAAAATTTAATTTAAGTATACAAAAAAAAATTATTATGACCTACCAAAAAAATAAAACAATTATAACCAGATTGTAACTCTTTAAACATGGAAAAATATGACTCTCTGATATAAAAATAATTTTTGTTTGAAAAAAAATATGTTAATGGCATAAGTAGAACTTTTGTTTGAAAAAAAATATGTTAATGGCATAAGTATCTTATGTCTAAAAAAATATCTTTTAAGACCATTAGAGCAGCCACATCAATGAATCCCCATTTGGGGTTCATTGATTCAATTTCTTACTATGAAAATTTTTTTTTTCTTTTTGATTCTTTTTTTTTTAAAAATAGACCAACTGCGAGCCGTCATGTGTCATGGGACCTGCGTTACAGTGATGAACTGGATTCACTGCAGAGAACCTGCAAGAGACAGGTTCATCTCTATTCCTTATTTTAATTTTTTTTTTTTTGAAAAACGTGTGAACCCCCATCTGAACCTTTGATGGGGGTGCTCTTACATAAAAACAAATTGTTGAAAAGTTATATCATTTCTTAAAAAACTGAAATATATTAATTTAAAAGTTGCATCTATTGATTCTAAAATTAATTGTCTTTTAAAACAAAAAATTCTTTTAAAAGTTGCATAAAAAAAATTATTATGACCATTAGATGGAAAACAAAAAAAAATGGTTGAAATGTTGTATCTTTCCATAAAAAAATTGCAATATTGTTGTATAAAAGTTGCATCTTTTCATCATAAACAGAATTGTGTCTTTTCATAAAAAAAATCTATTATTTTAGAAATTGAATCTTTTATTATTAAAAAAATTGCGTTTATAGTTTAAAATTATTTAAAAGAGGTTATAAGAATTGTGTCTTCTCATAATAACAATTGTTGAAAGGTTGTATCGTTTCATAAAAAACTAAAATATATTAGTTTAAAAGTTGCTATCTTGTCATTATAAAAATAATTGTATCTTTTCAAGAAAAAACTTATTTAAAATAGATTGCATAAATAATTTATTAGGACTATTATAGGGAAAACAAAACAATGCTTGAAAGGTTGTATCTTTTCATAGTAACTGAAATATATTAGTTTAAAAGTTGCATCGTTTTATTATAAAAAAAAAATAATAGTGTCTTTTCATAAAAGTTATCTATTATTTTAAAAGTGGTATTTTTCATTTTGACAAAATGAGTGTTCTAAAATTGTTGAAATGTTGTATTTTTAAATTTATGAAAATGTATGACAAATATGATTGTGGCTATTAAAATGAAATATATGCCTCTTGAAAGAAGAGTTTTCAAATATTTGATGACATCATCAATCATATGAAAATGTGTTTTTTGGTCCGTTAGATCTTAAAATTAAGTTAATACTAGATTTTGACCCGCGCAACCGCACGGGTGTTTATTTTCATTTATTTATATATAAACATTTTGTTTTCACTTCTAAATTAATCTATATTATTATATCTGATAGGTGTATATAAATTTTTCAAACATAATAATATTACCGTATACTTGTTTTTCATCAAATAGATTGTTTCAAATTTCCACATGTATTTGTATTTTTCTATTTATATTTTTGGATTTTTATTTCATTATTGGACTTGAAATTATATGTAAAGATTGGTAAAATATCGGTTTATTGTCATCTCCAAAGAAATTGTAACATATACAAATTTAGAAGATTTAACAAAAAAAATAAACTTATAGCTTCATAGATTGATAAAGTAGAACTTCATAAAATTGATACTCGCTATATTAATAATTTTTATAAATTAATAAATTTCACCTGTCCTAACTTGGATTTAGTTCCAAATTTTACACAAAATGATAATATTAACATAATAATATTTTTTTAAAAATTGATGTAGCTATAAGATCCCATTAAAATTATAAATTAATAATTTCTATGTATTCATATTTTATATAAGAAAGAAAATATCATTATTTTTTTGGTTTATATTCAGAATATAATTATCTTTATATTTTTGCCACTTAATATATTTTTGATGAGATTTAGTAATATTATAGCTAAAATCACATTTAAATTCTATGCAATATATACTATATACACAAAATAATATAATAAATAAATATAAATATTAAATTTCAAAAGCTAGTAATTAATGTCTATACACTAATAATCAAATATTTTTCTTATATTAGAATAAATATATTTGAAATTGAGAATCCGAATAAGAAATTTTTTTAAATTAATATCTCTATAAATTAATAAAATTTCAAAGTCCCAATATTATTAATTTATAGAGGGTTTTCTTGTATTATCGAGTAAATAGTTAAACATTTTTTTCTATTTTTTACAAAAAACTATATAATTAAAAAAAAATATCAAAAAATATTTAAATATATTACATATGAAGGTATACCATTACAACACAAAATTGTATCTAATGAATTTAAACATGTATCTTATTATACTATCGATAAATCCAATGAGTCATCTTAGTTTAAATCCAATTATTGTTAGTCCAATAAAAATTGGGAAATTGTAACAAATACCACTTTCCTAATACCATTTTTTACTTTTACATTAATCATCTTTACCATCAAAATTTTCATAGCCAAAATACTATTTTATCCTCAATAAACCGTAATCTTTCTCCTCTCAATCTCTCCGTCACGAAATCAAAATTGAGATTGAAACAAGGTCCGATGAGATCTCTGGATATTGTGATTAATCACTCTTTCTCAGATCAATTACTCCTCCGCCAAATCCAAAAAAATCATCACTTTTCTCCGATGACAATGATAACGATTGAAAAAACGCTAGTATGAGGTCTTACGAGGTTTCAGCTCAATCCATGTCCTCTAGCGGCAGTATGGGTTCGCCGTCGAGCCGGACGGAGCAAACCACAACCGTGGCTACTACATCTGCTAGCGACGATTTCCTAGGGTGACGAGGATCCTGCTTCTCAAGAAGCTCCTGGGTATATCATTTGGTAATTCAGTTAACTAGTTCTCTGTTGTAAATCTGCTTCTGCAAAGGCGTCCATATCTCTCCCTAACATCTCCAACGCTGTTAAAGAGCTCACTATTCTTAAAGGTGTGGGTTCTGCCACCGCTTCAGCAGTTTTGGCTTGCTCCGTTTATGTCCGACGAGGTACGTTTCTTCTTCTGCGTTAGTAAAGGAACAATCTTNGTTCTCTGTTGTAAATCTGCTTCTGCAAAGGCGTCCATATCTCTCCCTAACATCTCCAACGCTGTTAAAGAGCTCACTATTCTTAAAGGTGTGGGTTCTGCCACCGCTTCAGCAGTTTTGGCTTGCTCCGTTTATGTCCGACGAGGTACGTTTCTTCTTCTGCGTTAGTAAAGGAACAATCTTTATTCACACCCTTTTTTCTCTTTGTTTTGATTTCGTTAACACTCTTTAATGTGGAAATGTAAAAGGCAATGGAGGTGGCTCTTGGGAACTCAAAAGATTACTCTTTGAAGCGATATTTGTTGTTTATCACTAAGCTACAGGAGAAAGCAAAGGTTAGACTCTCTCTCTGTCTATTTCTCTAAGACAAAAGTGTTTATTAAGTTGTTGTTATTGTGTGTTATTAACTTTTGTCCCTGGCTGCTACGCACACTTATCTACTCTAGAATCTGTTATTGATAAGGAACTTTCTTGTGTTATAGCATTAAATCATTTCTTATTGCTTTGGTTCTGCGTATGATGGTTTTGAATCCACCTGCACTGTCTTCTCTCCCTTATAGTAAAAAAGTGTTCTAAATTCTTTTAAAATGTTAAAGAGGCATTACATTAAATTTTGGACTGGACATTGCCTTATATGATAATTATTTATGGGATTGCAGGAATTAAAGTTGAAAGGAGAGTGGGGTGGACCTTCAGATGTTGAGAGAGCTCTATGGAGCTGTACTTTGCGTTCTAAGTCAAAAGACAAAAAACCAGCCGAGAAGAGCTCATCGGGGAAGAAAAGAAAACGCCAAGGAGTAACTACCAAAGAAGAAACCGACGAAGCAGAATGCGGAGGAGGAAGCTCGTGCGACGCGGCATTCACACGGTGGTTCGTGGCGGTTGAGGAGACGGGAGGGAAGAGGAGAGAGATTGAGCTTGTTGTTGGAGGAGGAGAGGATGAGGATGAGGAGAGGAGGAGGAGAAGTCGCCAGAGGCATGTTTTTGAGGTCTTGATTTGAGCGAGATTGAGTTGAAGACGGAGAGGAAGGAGAGGGAAATGGTTAACTTCTGTTCTCCGCCGAAGAATGCGTTGCTGTTGATGAGGTGTAGATCTGATCCGGTTAAGGTGGCAGATTTAGCTAACCAGGTTCGTGAGAGGCAGATGTCGCTTGATGATGGCGCGTGTGGAGGAAGAGAAGAGGATGAAGAGGAGGAGGAGAGGAGGAGGTTTGAGCTTGATTTGGAGGATAATTAAGAAGCGGATCAATTGTGTGAGAAATGGATCTCTGGAGACACTATTGTCGAGAGAGAAGTTGTAGTTCCTGAAACTCCTAAAGAGGAAGAACTTGTGGAAGATTCAGAAGAAGGTTTGAAGATACATGAGGAAGAGATTGAAGCTATGATCATCAAACACATTGAAAACTATCTCAGAAACGCGGTTGTAGGTTAGGATTAGGGTAATTCAGTTTTCGGGTTATTTCGGTTCGCTCACAAAATTTGTCTGAAATTAGGAGACGTTGTTAAGAACTATCAGCAGATTCTTCTGGCTAGTTTGGTTGTTGAGCTTGCCCCTGTGGTTATGGCTTGATTTGGAGAAGCAAGATTTGGGTTATAGATGATTTGATGAAGTTTCTCTACAGACGTACTCTCACTTTGTAGAACTAGAGGCGCATGTCTTCTTTAGATTATAGATTATTTGGTCACTTGACCCATACAATTTTTCTTTTTCTCATTTAAGATCCATCAAATATTCATTTCCACAACAAACCCCCCATACTGTTAACGTTATACATGAGAAGATCATGATGACCATAATAATACGTACATGATCGATATCACACATCTTTTTAGCTTTTTAGTAAACTAAACACACAGAAAAATATTCATATTTACTAGTATTTTCTTGAATTGATATATAAGTATATATCATTGACATGTGATGCAAGAAAACAGTCGATGGCTCTTGTATCTCACGAGCTGATTACCTTCTTGCGCCGGAGAACAACCCTTAACCGTGGCTCCACCACCGCTTCTTTTTGTTTCCTGGCTTGATAACGATGAGATATCTCCAACGGACCAGTGACGACGACGATGGTGACCGTCCATGTTCATTTCGATGTCGTAAGACTCGACGAGTTGTGGTGGTGGTGGAGGAGAGACGCTCGTAACGACGGCGAGTAAGGTTCTTCTTCACGGTCCTATACACAGGCCCGGCTCAAGGTTGTACTGGCTCTGTACAAAAATTAACTAATTATAAGGGTTTATAAAATCGTTTATAAGGGTTTATAAAATCGTTTATAAAGGTTTATAAATCCTTTATAAAGGTTTATAAAGTGATTTGTAATGGTTTATAAACTAATTTAATAAGGTTACTAAGTTAATGTATAAAAAGCTTATAAAATGATCATAAGATTTATAAGTTAATTTATATATAAGAGTTTATAAACTAATTTATAAAGGCTTAAAAACTAATTTAAGGGTTTAAAAGTTGATTTATAGATCTTTATAAATTCATTTTTATTCATTATTAAATTCTTATTATATGATTTATAAAATTTCATAGATTAACTCTTGCAAATTAATGGCTTTATAAACCTTATAAATTATTTATAGACTCATACAAATAATTTTACATACCCTTATAAATTATTATTAATGATACATAATCTCTTGTAAATGGTTTTATAAACCATTATAAATCATTTTATTTCTTAGCAATGCTTCAAAATAATTATAAATGATTTACAAAGATTTATAAGCTAGAAATTATAAAAACTTATAAATATATTTATAAAGATTTACTTATAATTTTTTGTAAGGCTTTGCAAATTCTTCTAAATGATTTATTAAGTCCTATAAATTTTGTTATGAAGATTATTAAACTCTTATAATATTTTTACAAACCCTTATAAATAGTTTTATAAATATTTTTAAGTGTTTTATAAACTTTATAGATAACTGTATAAAATTTTATAAATAATGGCTGATAAAATATTTTTATAAACTATTATAAATCATTTATATACAAAACTTTTTTGTATATTCATATGATTGGTTTTATAAGCCTTTATAAACACTACCATGTGTGTTTTATGATTTATGTGTGTTTCTGATAGCATTGTTGCTACTTCAGTTGTGCTTTATTACAACCAGGTCCAATACGTTGATGAAAGATGGAGAAAGATACAATACAAAAATACTTTTGTTATGTTGCAGTTTATGAACTGGAGAGAAGCAAACACGATCATCTAAACTACCATGAAGTTTAATTAGAGTTTTTGTATTGTTAAGCTAATAGTAGAAACACTTCGATTTAATAGAGTAGATTTAATTTTCCTTTAAGAGACCGGTTTAGGTTTAATGGATTAGATGTTTGGTTTAATTTATGTTGCCTGATTGTATTTATTATGTAGCGTCAAATTATATATTGAAATGGTCCATCGTAGTTAACACAATGACATAGTCCAAAAGTTAATGACAATTTTTTAAGTAGATAAAATTTAGGATTCTATTTTAATAGAGTAGATAAAATGAACTGTAAAAGAATGATGTTCTTAAATAAACAAAGAAATGGTGGAAAGTTGGTTAATTTGGTAATTTATAAACTCTTATAAACAGATTTATAAACCTTGTAAATTATTTATAAACATTTATAAGTAAATGATAAACTCTTATAAATAGCTTATAAGTTCTTGCAAATAGTTTTATACACCCTTTTAAATAGTTTTATAAGCCTTTATAAATAGTTATATAGATATTTATGTGTTTTATAAACTTTATAGATTGTTGACACAAGGTTTTATAAGCTCTTATAAAATTTATAAATGGTTTTATAAACCTTTATAAATAATTATATAAATATTTATATGGTCAATGCCTCAATGAGTAGAGTACCTCTAAATTTGGTTGCAAAGAAAGCAGTTTTCTTAGAGAATNTTATAAATAGTTATATAGATATTTATGTGTTTTATAAACTTTATAGATTGTTGACACAAGGTTTTATAAGCTCTTATAAAATTTATAAATGGTTTTATAAACCTTTATAAATAATTATATAAATATTTATATGGTCAATGCCTCAATGAGTAGAGTACCTCTAAATTTGGTTGCAAAGAAAGCAGTTTTCTTAGAGAATGTTATCAGCTTTTTAATATTTATGGATATTTAGATCAACTAAAAATCTGTAAAGCTATTTTAGTCTCGACAATGCTTTTCAGATTTTGTTATGTAATACTATTTATGCAATTCTAGACAAAACAAACCATATGCAAATGTTCAAATCAGCAACAAAGAAAGCAGCAAAGTAACCACCATTATTATGGCTCAGTAACGTCCCACTGATACCAGATGAAAGAAACGCAGACAAGAAAGAAATATTGAAGAGCCTCTGCAGCAGTCCTTGACGACTTTTTGGAAGCCAATACTTTTCCTCTCTTCCTCAAATCCTTCTGAGCAGCCTCTGTGTCAAACCCAAAAACACACATATTTATATTAGAGATATTATCATTTTGAACTATAAGTCAACTCAAATGAACTCAAAGACAAGTATGTACCACTAGAAGAGCTGGAACTACTGGGAGAGCTGCTTGAACTACTTGATCTGCTTGCCTCATTGTTTTTTTGTCCACTGAGTAGGTAATGCTGTAGGGAGCGTCTTTTTAGCTGATTAAAAAAAACCAAAAACGTAATGCTGTAGGGAGCGTCTTTTAGTAGGAAATTCATATCTTTTTTTTTTCTTTTGGTAACTCAAAATATAAAGTGAAATTCATATCTAACCTCATAATTCTCAGAAACAAAAGGCAAATTGTTATAGTACTATACAATTTGAAAAAAAAAAGAAAAAAAGCCAAACCCACCGTACTGATCCAAAAGCGCATCGTGAATATCTAAATCTGATACTTGGACGATGTTCTTACAATATACAATACAGTTGTCAAAGAAGCACACAGTCATAGACCTTCTTGTATCCTAATTACCAAGTAAACCCTTGCATGGTAACTTAAGTTATTAGTTCTTGTACTGGTATGTTATAAGATACCATGCTCGAATGGGTTATAAGTTCTTGTACATGGTTTTATAAACCCTTATAAATAGTTTTATAAACCTTTATAAATAGTTTTATAAACCTTTATAAATAGTTTATAAACCTTTATAAATAGTGTTTATAAAGACATACAATAATTTATAAAGGTTTGTAATTTGATTATAAGAATTTTAAACATATTTATAAGGGTTTAAAAACTAATTTATTAAGGTTTATTTGTTAATTTATGAAATACTACTTATTAAACTAATATATAGAACATTCTGATTAACCACATATTTTATTTATAATGGNGACATACAATAATTTATAAAGGTTTGTAATTTGATTATAAGAATTTTAAACATATTTATAAGGGTTTAAAAACTAATTTATTAAGGTTTATTTGTTAATTTATGAAATACTACTTATTAAACTAATATATAGAACATTCTGATTAACCACATATTTTATTTATAATGGTCTATAAGTTTGATTTATAACTGTTTATAAACTGATTTAAAAGGGTTTATAAACTGATTATAGGGTTTATAAGGTTATTTCTTAATTTTAATAAATTGGTTTTCCATTTATAAGAATTTATAAAGGTTTATAAATGACTTAAACAACAATTATAAACCAATTTGGTAAGGCTTAAAAACTATTTTATAAAGATTTATAACTTATTTATATGGGTTTATAAAATGATTTATAAATTTTGTAAACTGATCTATAGAGGTTTATAGACTAATTCATGAAGTTTTCTACGTTAATATATAAATTGATTTATAAGAGTTGATAAACTGATTTATAAGATTTTATAAACTGATTTATAAGAGTTTATAAATTAAGTTAAGGGTTTAGAAGTTAATTTATTAATGAGTTTAAATTCATATTTACTTGTTATAAAATTCTTATTATATGATTTTTAAGTTTATAAGATTTTATAAATCTGTTAAAGATCAGAAATGATTATACATAAATTTATAAGGTTGTAAACTTTTAGAAATCTACTTATAAACCTTATAAATCAGTTTATAAGCATTTATAAATAACCTTATAAACCTTATAACCCCATATAAATCAACTTATAAACTTCTACTAGTCAAAATTCCATTTATAACCCCTCCTCCAAGTGAAAACCCAACCTTAACCTGACCATATTTGATACTTTTTTGTTTCAGACTCACTTCATTTTGCCAGAGAACATGATGCAAAAGGATAAGATAAATGTGGAGGAGGCGAAAGATGAGTTGAAGAAAGCAGGTTTGCAAGAAGATGAAACGGCAGCTCTGGAGAGACAGCTCTTATAAGGGTTTATAAATTGATTTTATAATTGTTTATAAAGTCTGGTCCTTCTAGCGAGCTTCACAATGCTTCCGATGTGACTCCCTATGACTGTAAACTCCTCATTTCCTAAAATATTAGCAATCTTGTAAACATAATCCATGTTAGAATGTTGGATTGTCTTTTTTGGCTTGTCTGGTGGTTCTGTTCCAGCTTCATGAGTGCTGACTAAGGTGAAGTATATCCTCCAGAATCTCCTTTCTTTCATGACTCGCGGGCATAGCTCATATCTCAACTTCGAAATTTGCTGCAACACAAACACAAACATTAAACACCAAGTCTACATCATGAACAAGTAAAAACGAAAGAGATGAGTACCTTGACAGAGCCAAGAACAAGAGTGGCATGTCTCTCCTGCCACTCCGATAGATCCTTCCTTACATTCGCCTCACTTGTTGTTGCCACTTCAGAAACTTCCGACTTTTCATCTATCCACATTCACCATTACACACATTTATCATTAACACATTTCATGATAACATATCCATCACACATACATCCACAATGATTGTGTAATGATGAATGTGTATGGTAAATTTACAGTCACCATAGACGATTTCATGATAACATATCCATCACATGATTCATAGCACATTCATTATAACACATTCACCATAACACACATTCATCACAGCACATACATCTATGGTGACTGTAATGATGAATGTGTATGGTAAATACATGATTCATTATAACACATGATTCATCATAACACATTCATCATGTTACAATCATCAATTCACCAATCATTCACCAGGAAGCAACAAAACAACCATACCTTGTACGGAAAAAGCCTTAAAGGTATCAAACGTTAATCATTTAACAAACTCTCTCAAATCATCGGTGATACCAAAACTAATCAGATCCGTATCAGATCCTCCTGATTCAGACGCAAGCTGAGTAGATACAACAATATCAGCAAGCGACTTAATATTCTGGATCTGATCCGCTTGCTTCAACGCCGCGACTTTGAGCTGATCAGCCTTCGTCGAAACCTCCGTGGCGAACTTTTTCGACTTCTTCGCTGTCTCTGCCACGAAACCGGAGACGTTGAGCGGATCGGCTTTCTTTGAGGCGTCGAGAGCGAGTTCCTTTGATTTCTTAGCCGTCTCCGAGACGAGATTAGCCAACGTGGCTGATGATAGATCTCGACTTCAGTATATTAGGTAGGGGTAATTATGTCAATTCCAATTACTGCTGTAGGTATTTATGAAAATGTCTTTCTAGCAAAGGTAAAAATGAAAAGTGGTACAATGAATGTGGTAAAACTGAAATTTTCCCATAAAAATTTCTGATCAGGTATCTGATTTTTGTCCGGGAAAAAAAGTGTTCTAAACCTAACAAATTTTATAACTTTATATTGGGTGTATTGTTGGTGATCTTCATCATCACTTTCAGTTTTCACTTTAACCTAACTACGATTCTCCAACGACACGACTAAACCGCCACGGTTGAAGATGATTTCCTGCCTCTCTTCATTACATTCAACGATTCTCATATGATCTTTTAGTTTCTTTATTTTTTCCCATTTAGTTTGAGTTACTATCTATAATATGCGTAGATGGAATCAATAATAGTAGAAGCAAGATATAAAATATTCACCACAATATTATATGTCGCTCTGCCATAATATATTCTCAAGATCAATACCTGAAATCAGAGGTGATTGATTTTATTTTCACCACAAAAGGTTAGTTTTCTAGTACCTGTCGTAATGATCTGTGTAATGATTTTATCTTTTGGTTTTGAATATCTCTGTAAGATGCATGATGCCTGTAATCTGATGAGAGAGACCTTTTTGTACCAATCATTGCTGTTCAAAGGTATTAACTTTCATCCCTCTTATTTGAATTAATCATACTGTTTGGTTTACTTTCGTTGTTAGGGTACATCGTTACTTCTAGACTGCGATTTTTCTAATTCTGATGAAGAAGAATTTGATACAGTTTAGTCGTATCAAACTTGTAAAAGAAGATAAATGAAGGGAAATCCCAAGTTTTTATAAACGTTAAAGTGAAATACAATGAGTTTTTCTTTGGAGTCTCTCCTCTCCTTAATGAACTACTCGACAAATTCTCTGATAAAAAGTAATACTACTCCCTCTCTCTCTTCTTATACCTGATCCAAGGTTGTTGCTGACGCCGTCAAGTAACCATGTGAGCAACAAACGCACATGCCTTGTCGGTGAGTCATCACAACCGTTATTCCTTAATACACTACGTAAGACCCACGGAATCATCTTNAAAGTAATACTACTCCCTCTCTCTCTTCTTATACCTGATCCAAGGTTGTTGCTGACGCCGTCAAGTAACCATGTGAGCAACAAACGCACATGCCTTGTCGGTGAGTCATCACAACCGTTATTCCTTAATACACTACGTAAGACCCACGGAATCATCTTTCCTCCTGGGCCTAAGCACTCTTCTTATGGGCCCTTCTCTTCTACTGATACAAGATAGGTGGACGCAGAGCATCATACGTATCAATACCATCGCCATCGAGAGTAACCTTGTCCTCAAGGTTAAAGTGTGGAAAGCGCTTTGCGATCGCAGAAACCCACTCCCAAGTGCACTCGTGACTTGGTAAACCTTGCCACTTGATCAGTACCTCCTGTTTTCCTGACGCTCCATTAAATCGGGAAGAGACCACACTCTCAGGTTCGACGATCAACTCCCCCTCACTGCTGAGTTGTGCAACGGTAAGCTATCAGTGACATTCCCAATGGCCTTCTTAAGCTGAGAAATGTGGAAGGTAGGATGAATCTTAGCGTTGTCAGGGAGCTTCAATTTGTAAGCCACCTTCCCTACCCTCTCCAGCACCTCAAAAGGTCCATAGAATCTCGCGGATAACTTCTCATTCATCCTCCTCGCCAAAGTTTTCTGGCGGTAAGATCGAAGCTTAACATAGACCCACTCACCAACCTCCAATTCCACTTCTCGACGACTCTTATCAGCCTTTTCCTTCATCAGTTGCTGCGCTCGATGAAGATGTTCTTTGAGCAACTGTAATGCAGCATCTCTGTCCCTCAACTGACATTCCAGCTCGCCATTAGTTGTAGAGCCATTCTCAAACTTAACCCACGTCGGAGGATCACGACCATACAACGCCTTGAATGGTGTCATCTGCAGTGTAGAGTGATATGCAGAGTTATAGCTAAACTCTGCCCAAGACAAATATTGAGCCCATGTCTTAGGCTTATCACTCACAAAGCAACGTAGGTATGTCTCCATGCTCCTGTTAGTAACCTCGGTTTGTCCATCCGACTGTGGGTGATACGCAGTACTGAGACAGAGTCGTGTACCCGATAGACGGAATAATTCCTTCCAAAAGGAGCTGGTGAAGACCTTGTCTCTGTCCGATACGATGGTCCGCGGAAACCCGTGTAAGCGAACCACTTCCTGAATGAAAACCATAGCTACATCTGTTGCTGAAAACGGATGACTCAACCCCACGAAGTGACTGAACTTAGTCAATCTGTCAACTACCACCATTACAGCATTCTTCCCTTGTGAACGAGGAAGCCCTTCCACGAAATCCATCGAGAGATCCTCCCAAACTTGCACCGGAATAGGCAACGGTTGAAGAAGACCTCCCAGAGCCAGTGTAGAATATTTTTGTCTCTGGCAAATCGAACAAGCAGCTACCATACGCCGAATGTCAGTCAACATCCCCTCCCAAAAGAACAATTCGGCAATTCTTTTTTGAGTTTTTACCACACCCCCATGGCCCCCAAACTTGCCCGCATGATATTCTTCCATGATCACTCCCACCAGTGGTGATGCTCGAGGGATCACCATCTTGCCCTTTCTCAGTAAACGACCTTGAACCACCGAATATTCAGGGTGCTTCAACGGATCCTCTTTCCACTCTGCGACAATTTTTTGTAACTCCACATCACGATCAACCTCACTCGCTATCTCTACCAACTGCAATACCGTGGTGGTAGACACTGCATACAACTCTGTTGCTCCCATCATTCTTGACAACGCATCCGCAGCGCGATTCTCAAGGCCTGGTTTGTATACAATCTCGAAGTCGAACCCCAGCAGCTTAGTCAACCACTTCTGGTACTCAAGATTGACCTCCCTTTGCTCCATCAAAAACCTCAAGCTCTGATCGGTGCGCACCAAGAACTTTCTCCCCATTAAATAGTGACGCCACTTCTGGATAGCAAAAACAATTGCCATAAGTTCACGCTCATAAATTGACTTGAGTTTTTGTCTTTCAGTCAAGGCCTGACTGTAATATGCGATGGGTTTGTTGTTCTGCATAAGCACAGCCCCCAATCCTATCCCCGAAGCGTCAGATTCGATGACAAACGTCTCATTGAAGTCAGGCATTGCTAACACCGGAACTGTGGTCATGGCCTTCTGAAGAGATTTGAAGGCTGTTGTGGCATCATCACCCCACGCGAACTGATCCTTCCTCAGCTGAACTGTTAACGTCCTTGCAATACTCCCATAGTCTTTGACAAACTTGCGGTAGTAGCCGGTGAGCCCCAAGAAACCCCTCAGCTCCTTGACGTTTCTTGGCATAGGCCATTGCAACATTGCCTTGATCTTCTCACCATCTACTGCAACCCCTGCTCCGGATATTATGCGCCCCAGATACTCTACTTGTGAGCTACCGAACTGGCACTTCTTCAGATTAACGTACAGTTTCTGCTCCTTCAATATACTCAGGACCAACGTCAAGTGTTCCTTGTGCTCCTCTGGTGTTCGGCTATAGACTAGTATGTCGTCAAAGAAGACCAAGACGAACCTCCGTAAATAGGGTCGGAACACTTGATTCATTAAGGACTGAAACGTGGCTGGCGCGTTAGATAGGCCGAAGGGCATTACCAGGAATTCGTAATGCCCGTCGTGCGTCCTAAATGCTGTCTTTGGTACGTCCTCTCGCTTGACCAAAATTTGGTGGTATCCCGAGCGTAAGTCAAGTTTCGAGAATACCTGAGCTCCATGTAGTTCGTCCAGTAACTGATCAATCATTGGAATGGGGTATTTATCAGCCACTGTGACCCGGTTGAGAGCTCTGTAATCCACGCAAAACCTCCAGCTCCCGTCTTTCTTCTTGACTAGCAGAACCGGGCTTGAAAATGGACTACCACTCTCCTGAATAATACCAGCTGCCAGCATAGATGCAATTTGTTTCTCAATCTCTGCCTTCTGAATCTGAGGATATCGAAATGGCCTCACACTGACGGGTCGTGCTCCAGACTCTAGTGTGATTCCATGTTCCTTCCCTCTAGAAGGAGGTAACTCTGTAGGCTCCTCAAACACAGCCGCAAACCTTTGGAGTACCTGATCCCAACCACCCTGAGTAGTCACCGGTAGTGACACTTCCTCTTTGTGTACGCCTCCATACTCCACCAGAATTCCTTCACCTTCTTTGCCCATTGTTTTCCATAGGGATTTCAGAGAAACTCTTGCTGAGTGTAA